ATAGTGGCAAAGCAAGACATCACAAAAAGCTGTTCTTCTTGTGGTTGTTGAATTGCAGTCTTTGCTTCACTTTGTTGTTGTTGTGACTTATAGATCCTGTCCATGTGCCCAAGCTGACCACACTTGTTGCACTTTGCATCTGGCCTCCACCAGTACTTCTTTTGTGGATGATTCGTTTTTTTACAATGAGGACAAGGTGGGAAGTCTGAGAAGATTTGCTGCTATTATTGTTGTTGTTTGATTTTTCTGACTTCTTGTTGTTCTGATTTTTTTTCTTGTTCTTGCCACCATAATTGTTCTGAGATTTGACCAGCAAAGCTACTTCTACAGAAATTTCTTGCCTCATGAGTCTTCTTTGTTCCTGAGCCTGCAGTGCATTTAATAATTCTGCCAAGTTAATGCTTGACAAATCTCTTGAGTTTTCGAGAGAAGTAATTGTTGCTTCAAACTTCTCTGGAACAGTAACAAGAATTTTTTGAACTATTCTTGAGTCAGAGAGTTCAGTGCCAAGAAGTCTTACTTTATTGGCAATGCAGAGAAGCCTATGTGCATAATCTTTAATGGTTTCTATTTCCTTCATCTTTTGTATTTCGAATTCTCGAACCAGGTTGAGCACCTGCATCCCTTTAATCTTCTCACTTCCCTCGTACTCTTACTTCAAGAATTTCCAGATCTCGTGAGCTGTTTTTAATGTCATTATTCTGTTAAAAATAACAGAGGAGACAGCAGTGAACAAAACAGATCTGGATTTGGATTTTCTTAACTTTTTCTCTTTATAAATTTTGATTTGAGCAACAGTCGGATTTTCTGGTAATTGAGAAACTTCATATTCTCTCTCCACAGCTTCCCATAAATCATTAGCGTCAAGATAGGCTTCCATCTTGACAACCCACTTCTGATAATTCATTCTGTCAAACACCAGTGGTGAAATTGAAGTGAAAGAAGAAGAAAGTTCTGATTCCATCTTAGGCTGTTTATAGGTTCTGTTTTGTGTATAGAGGAAGAAAGGTAATTTTGTGGGTTTGTGTTTTTTAATCGTTTTAGCTTACAGATCCCTCAAGATTAAACTGCTCTGATACCATTTGTAGGTGTTGATAGAAACATTCAAGAAAACATGAGGCGGAGAAACTTATTTTGTTGAGCATAAAGATCAACTATTTATACAGCAGATCCATAACTAAATTTGCAGAGAAATCTGCTACACGAAAGCATAAAATATCTTCCAAAAATATAGCATGAAAAATAGGACTTAATGTAACTGACTTTTGACTCTTTTAAAGTAACTTATTCTTGACTCATTCAACTGAAATATCTACAGCATCTTAAGTCACACTAAAAGAAATTAATAAAGCTAATTCTTAAATAAAGCAAAAACTTCAAATTTTATTCTTCTGTGTTTACAACTTATGAGTAAAAGTCTTTATATAGCATTTTCTCGAAATAGTTTTAAATGAATACAAATAATTGATTAATTAATAAAATAATTGGAAGAAAAAATTATATCCTAGAATAAATAATAAAATATTGATTTATTCCATTCTAAAATTCAAAATGATAATTAAATAATTTTAAGAGATAGATTTAAATTAAAATAATAATAAATAAATTGATGAAATGGTTATAAAATTATCCTATGTAAAATTTGGATAAAATCACATGGAACTTATGCAATTAAAAAGAGTCCTTGTGGGAGAGGAAGAAAGGAAAAAAAAGAGTCCAAAAAGACTCACACAAGGGGCTGTCATGCGGGTCGCGCATGGGCCGTGGGTGTGGGTCGCGCAGATGGGTTGTCCGTGCGGGTTGGACCTGTGTATGGGCTGGGCTGCATGCGTGCTGGATGCCGATCCCTTGCTGGCCCGATGGGTTGTGCGGTCAGGTCAGCTGGGTCCGTGTGCGTGCGGCCTTGCGGGCCTGAACCCGTGTGGGCATTGGGCCTTGCTGTGCACATACCATAATAAAATATGGTACTTAACACCCCCCTTAAGTTGGTGTAGAAATATCGCACATGCCCAACTTACAAACTAAATTCTGAAAAATCATCATGCAATCTAGCAGATGTGTACGCATGCTCGATTTGGCTCAAATGGCTCGACTCGACTCAAAACGGTTCGATCCGGCCCAAAATAGCTTAACTCAACTCAAAACAGCACGAATTGCCTCTAAAACGGCTCGGGTTCGGCTCTAAAACGGCTCGGGTTCGGCTCTAAAACGGCTCGGGTTCGGTTCTAAACAGCTCGGTTCAGCTCTAAAACGGCTCGGGTTTGACTTTAAAACAGCTCAGATTCGGTTTTAAACGACTTGAAGTCAATTCAAAAAACAACTCGAAATTGGACAAATCTCTGAACGTGTGCAAAAAAACGGAATGGCGCGGTCTTTTTAACCGATATCCGTAGATGTGTGGCTGCAATTTTTTACCAACGTCTGTGATGTGTGGCTACATCTTTTTATTGGTGATTATGAATGTGCGACTGCACCTTTTTATCAACACTTGCTTTTGTGCGGTTGTACATTTTTACCGGTGCTTTTTACCACTGATTGCAGATGCGGCTGTTGTTCTTTACCAGTGTCTCTAGAGTGTTGTTGCACCTTTTTACCAGTGTTTGTAGATGTGCAGCTGCATTTTTTTACTGGCAACTGCGAATGTGCTGGTGCAGATTTTTACTGGCGCCTCAAGAGTGCGGCTGCACTTTTTACCAGCGCCTACAGAGTGTAGCTGCATTTTTTACCAATGACTCCAAAGTGCGGCTTCACTTTTTTTCCGGCGCCTGCAGAGTGTGGCTACACCTTTTGACCAGCGCCTACATTGCCACTGAAAATCACCTTAAACACCAAAGAACACATCGGCACGTTCAAATCTATCTTGGGTGGTGATGAAAGTAGATATAGATAAAAGGTATCAATTCAACATATTGTGCTATTTTTGAGTTTGGAAAGAATGCTAAAATTAGAACCTTAAAATAACTTTATTTGGCTTTGAAATCACGTTAATTTTTTAAGAAAAAATATAATTTTATTTCTCACCTTTAGTTTATTATACTTAGATATTTATAAAATTTTTAAACTAATAATTAAAAAATAACTATTCTATTAGAATTTTAATTATATAAGATTACTATTTTAATAAAATTTTAATTATATAATATTAAATAATTAATAAATTAAATAATAAAATATAATATTCAACATGCCGAAGGCTGCACGTATGTGGCACATGTTGTCTGCCATTCTCCTCAAGGCCAATTGGCCTTTGAGCCTTCTCTTGGGCTAAATGCTGCCTTGGCCGAAAAGGCCTTGAACCCGTCTCTTCTCGGGTCAAAGATCGATCTTTTGTCTCTCTTGGCAATTCTTCAAGCTGAACGATTCTCTCATGAGTCTCAAGGCCAGTCTTTTGTCTTGCCTTGGATCTTCAGGTCTAGCTGGATCTAGTTTGGACCTTTCTTTTGACAACTTTTGGGCCTCCAAGGCTGTCCCCTTCTTGACCCAAACTCGATCACAAGGTTTGGACCTCGTTGAGTGCTCAGTAGGTTGGGCACTTGGCCCCATGCACAACAGCTTTGAGTTCTTCTCTCTTTGGCACTTAAGCGGAGTTTCAAGTCCTTTTTTAGATGAATTTAGTACTTGGGCCGTTACTGGACTGCTTTTTGGGTAAGGATTGTCGGCCCCTTCAAGGGTGGACTCGGTTTGGACTTCCAGGATTGATTTTGGCCTAAATGGGATCACATCAAACCGAAGGCAATGTTTTATTTTGTACGAGTGCATTATACTCGGCTGCCGTTGTTTTTTTTTAGTCAAGATGTTTGTTTGCTTCGGTGAAAGTTTTTGGGTTTAGATGGGAGCTGGTCGGATTGGGTGGAATGTGGTGGAAACTTGACACAAAGGAAGAGATTATTTTTGGTTTACAATGACAAGTTTTGGGACGGATAAGCATGTGATGGAGGGAAGTTGTGGCAGTAGATGAGAGTGTTTTTGGATCATGATTATCTATGGAGATTTAGCGATTGGAATAAGATAAGGATAAAAGTTATGAAGGCCGGTCTAGGGTGCAGGTGGCCAGTTATGCGGGGGCCAGCAGTTGGGTTGTGGTGGCCAGCAATGGAGGCTGGCCCTTTAGGGTTTTGTATCTCATTTCAGCAATGAAGATCAATTGGAGTTTGTGAAGGAGACTTAGGGTTTTTTTCCTAAATCTCTGATATCGTCTTACGAATGGTTAAATATATATTTTATTAAATATTATATCCCTATATATACAGACTTTTTTAGAATAAAAAAGAAAATAAACAATTATTATATGAAGAGTTATTTATCCTAAAATCCTTTAACCTAATTCCATATAGTACATTCTCTCTAACAATAGTTATCTTCCTCCAATCTCCCAAGTTGTCTCCTACATAAGAATTTAATTTATATTTGGGATGGTTGAATAAGTGGATGAGTAGGGAAGTGCATTTGGCTGTAATACGCTTGCTATATTTTATAACGTTAATAATTAATGTTAAAATTCAAAATATCTTACTATAATATAACTAAACAAAATTAATCTTAAAATTTTATATACTATATTATTTTAAACGTATAATGAAATTATATTTTTCATTAACTTTTAAATTAATAAAAAAAAAAGAAATTGGATGGGAAATTGTGATCAAACCACTGCAATCATTTCGTAATCATTTCGAAAG